CAACAATAAGTCCAATGTTGTTTAAAACACTCTTATGCCCTCCACAGCTCTCAAAATCAAAGGCAGTCCTGGCCCCAGCCCACTTCTCCTGTCTCCTCCCATACCCTGACAAGGTCAGACCTCCTGTAACACTCACTCACATGCTTCCCAAACTGTGGCGAGTCTCATCGTGGCAAGTTTACATTTATCTGCCACGCCTTGGTTAGTGTCTGCCACCTCCTCTACACCGTGAGCCCCACAAAGGAGAGACCGTGACTGTTCTGGCTTTGTCTTGGGATCAAGCAGGCTCATGTGGAAATCTGGGTTCTGCCTCTAATTAGCCATGTGACAATGAACAAGTTATTCAGCCTCCAAAAACTCCTTGCTGCAAGAAGGAAAATGGAGAAGGTATCACCCCCTCTACAGGAAACCATGAGGATGGAAATAAACAATGCACACAGAGTGGTTGACAGAGGGTCTGGTCGCTGGGAGGACATCTCATGACTGGTTGGAAACAGCGGCAGAAAGGTTTGCATACAGACCCTACTCACCTCTCAACCAGCTGACCCTGAAATAAGCCCTGTCCCGAATACAGATCTTCCAGCAGGCCCAGAAGGAGGCTCCCCGAGATGGGTCTCTGAAAGGGTGACCCATCAGGGTCCTAGAAGGGTGGCCTCCCTACTAATAGGACACAGTGAGGAGCAGCCTGCCCCAGCCCTCCACCTAGGAGAAAGGGTGTAGGGGGCCAGAAGGGTTTAGGAACCCTGAGGCCAGCCCTCTTAATAGGTCCATTTCATCAAGTCCCCTCCTCCCTCAAGAGTCACAGTGGCTCCCCGCTGCCTAGAGCATCAGAGGCAGCCTCCTTTACCCGGAATCTCACCTCCATTCTCCATCTGACACCTGGCACCCCAGAGCCCACCCTTCATTCAGAAAGGCCTCCTCACCAAGCCTCCATATCCCTTCCCGACTGCAGGCCCTGCCGCCCCCCATTCTGGAAAACCTTCAGTCTCCAGGTGTTCCTCTCTAAGTCCTCCCCCCCGAAAACCCCCTCCTCCGTCTTCCAGAAAGCCCTCTAGGACTCACCCAGCCCACACTAACTCCCTTCTCTTCTGAGGGCCTTGGGTCTGAAATCTCCAATGAAAGGCTAGGCTCTGATGTAAAACAGATCCATCTGGATACAGTCACAAGCTTACTACTGTTTGCGTTTCTTAAAAAATAAAACCACAGCTGTTATACAAATATAAAATGAACTGCACAGGTCAAAGATTTCATTTTTAACTCATTAATTAACAAGGGAAAAAAAGACATTTTACACAATTTAAAGGAAAATCTGAAGCACAGCCACAAGCATCGCTCTCAGCCTCCTCTCACAAGATCTCCACTGACCTCACCTGATAAAATGTATTTGCATCTCAAGAGACAGGAACAGTTTCCCATCAGAGTCAGGTTCCTACAACTTCCAAAGTAACTAAACAGCTCAGAGACCATGAAAGCTACAAATTCCTATTGCTGTTTGTTGTTGTTTAGTCAGTAAGTCTTTGTGATCCCATCGACTAGCCCACCAGGCTCCTCTGTCCATGGGATTTTCCAGGCAAGAATCCAGGCGCAGGTTGCCACTTCCTTCTCCAGGGGACCTTCCCAAGCCAGGGGCCAAACCCACGTTTCCCCCTCGGCAGGTGGATTCTTCACCACTGAGCCACCAGGGAAGCCCTAGAAAAACAGACAGTCATGTGCCGGGTAACATCTAAGAGTCAATTACAAGGACACCTGCTAATCTTTTCTGCTGTTTTGAAGTGTCTCATCATCTTACCTGGCACGGCTTAAGCAAGTGTGCATCTCTGGAAAATCACTTACGTTTGGTGGTTCTCAGTCTCCTCACCCGTAAAGTGGGATGTGAGCACAAAATCCTCCAAGCTCTCAGCAGAGAGCAGCTCCAGGAGGCACTGCCTGGGACTTCACAGGTGTTTCTGTGCCCGCCCTGCCCCGCCCCTGCTTCCACCCTCTGCTTCAGCACCACTTCTGAGCTAGTCAGCCTTGGGGGGCTGCACTCCTGGGCCCCACACCCCACCAAGCAAGAATCAAGCCCTCTTCTTTTCCTTCATCTCCCTTAACATGTCCAAGGAGACCATTAGCAAAATCAGAGGGAGAGAAAAAGATCTTTTTGAAGCTGGTGGCAGGGGTGGCGGGGGAGAGGGCTGCTTCCCTAGTGGCTCAGTAGTAAAGAATCTGCCTGCCAATGCAAGAGACACGGGTTCGATCCGTGATCCAGGAAGATCCCACATGCCTCGAAGCAACTAAGCCTGTGAGCCACAACTACTGAGCCTGTGACTCCGGGAGCTGGTGATGAACAGGGAGGCCTGGTGCGCTGCAGGCCATGGGGTCGCCAAGAGTCGGACACGACTGAGGGGCTGAACTGAACTGACCCTTAGTATTAAACATCAGAAGACTCCTCCCAACATTAGAACGGATAAGTTGACCAAACCTAGGAGTGACGGGGATAAGAGAGCACACTCTAGGTCAGGTCCCCACAGCCTGGCACTGGACTCTCGAGGCACCTCACCATCCTGAGATGGAACTGCATGACCCCGCCCAGCTCCTTCCCCCAGTATTGCTACTCTGCCCTTGGTGTAACAGACACTGAACATCAGTGTGCTTCCCTGCTGTCCAGAAGATGTCCCTCCTATGACTCTGACCCCATACAGAAGAAAGCCTCAAGAATATATGAACATACCCATTGAAGTCAAGAATAATCACAGACACGCACAAACTTACCCACAAGGATGTTCACTGTGGTGCTGTCTTGAAGTGTGAAAATCTTAAAACTGAACACCCAGCAGTAGAGAACTGATTAAATACTGGATGGTATTTCCGTAACATCTTATAGGAGAACCCAAGTGAACCTTTTGGACAACCCAATAAAATACAGTAAAGCCATCTGACACAGCGCTAGGCAGCCATGAAAACTGTGATGTAGGAGAAAAGGGTGAGCAAGCTCACTCCATTAAGAACACTTGTAGAGTCATGAGATTTAAAAGGAAGAAAAAGAAACCTCAACATTAATAGTGATCAGTATTTGTGTTCTTTATTCACTTTTTCAAGTTTCCCAAGTGTCCTACATGAACATGTGTGTGGATAGGCAGATCAACATAAGCCTGAAGCTAAACCCCAACACCACATGCCCAGTGGAAACCATTCTGCGTTCCAGTGCAAAGAACAAGTCAGATCTGTCAGCTCAGCAACGTTCAAATGGGGTGGGAGGGGATGAACTCTTTTTCAGCTAGGGCCTTCCACAAGGGCCCCACAAAATACACATACACACAATCTTGCCAATGGGAAAAGGAAATGGCAACCCACTCTAGTATTCTTGCCTGGAGAATCCCAGGGACAGAGGAGCCTGGTGGGCTGCCATCTATGGGGTCACACAGAGTCGGACACGACTGAAGCAACTTAGCAGCAGCACAGTCTCGCCAAAGGGGACAGATTAAAGGTAAAACCACTCAACAACAAGAATATCCATCCTGCATGGATCAGCAGGTGTCTGCTCAAGAAGGTCAAGGTCACCTTTAGCAGGGTAGTGCAGGGGGCAGAGCCCTGGCCTGGCAGCCCTAGAACCACCAACCCTAGCTGGTCTGTCCCCTCCTTTCTCTAGTCCTTTAATTGTTCATCCATAAAATAAATGCGTGAGGTTGAACAAAAGACCTCTCAGGTTCCATTTCTTAGGACTGGGAGATGTTTCCCTATATTCTGCCCCGCCCCCAACAGTTCTGGATGGAGGTGGAATCCTCCAGCCAGGGTCCCTCCATCTCTTTCAGTCTAGGGCGATAGGGTAGACAGTGCAGGAGTCAGAGCCCAGAATAAACAGTTAGCAAAGGAAGCTGGCAAGAGCCTCAGTCACCTAAGCTCTAGACCATGCAGGTTCCCTGCCACCACCCAGGGAAGCCCAAGATATGGTGACTGGCAGAGCTGGGGTGAAGGGAGGTTTGTTTTCTTAACCAGAGCCTGCTCTGCCCCTACCCTCCACTCAGTGCCAATGGCTGCCTGGCCTCTCCTCCACCCCATCCCTCTGGCTCCTCTCCTTCCCCACATTTTATCATCAACATCTGCAGCTCCTTATCCTCATGTTTCATTTTTGGTAACATGACCATCAAGGAAATGGGGGTTAGGAGAACGGTCAATAAAGTATTTCATCAATTAATTCATCAAATTTAGAGTGCATGCTCTGGGCAGGCCCCCAAGGGTCTCCCTCCTGAGGCTCCCAGTGAACTGTGTGAGTGCTCAGTCACTTCCGTCATGTCAAACACTTTGTGACCCCACGGACTGTAGCCCACCAGGCTTTTCTGTCCATGGGATTCTGCAGGCAAGAATACTGGCGTGGGTTGCCATGCCCTCCTCCAGGGGATCCTCCTGACCCAAGAATCAAACCCGCATCTCCTGCATCTCCTGCACTGCAGGTAGCTTCTTTACCCACTGAGCCACCTGGGAAGCCCTCCCAGCTAAGCAGAGGAGATTAAATGATTCCACAACTAACTGAGAAGCACCCAGACTAGCAGGGGTGCAATAATCAGGAGATCTACTGTAATAAAGAAAGGGAGGTCTGGGGAACGGGGCTGGTCCACGGCCCCTAACTAGAGTTGGGACAGAGCAGGAAGGCCAGGAGCCCCTCCCTGAGTCAGGCTCCAGGGTCGGGGTCAAGCTCTATGCCCAAGGTTTGGGTATGGCGGGGTGAGAGGGCACAAGGTTGGGCAAGGGGAATAGGAAACAGGCAAGCTGGTCGCTCAGGAGAGGAACGCTTCAGCCCGACCTAGCTGACACTCCGGAACACCCAAGAATCACCGGCGGGCAATCGGGAGCAGGAGGCCCTGCCAGGCTTGTCTGCTTTGCCCGGTGGCCATGACAGGGCTCCCCTGCCCAGGCCCAGGCTGGCCTCTGGAAACCCGTCTGGACGCCCTTCCCTGCTCATATTGGTTATCTGCTCTCTTCTGCAGGTTTGTATGTCCGCGCCTCTGCACCCGCCTGTCTGTATGTCACACTCTACACAGGCCTGTCCGTCTGTCCTCACACGTCTGGCTGGCGCGCTGGCCTCCCAGCTTCTCTCGGCCTCCTGGCCGTGCGCCCCGCCTGCCGCTGTGTGGGTGTCGGGCTGGCAGTGCGCAGAGGGGCGCGGCTCGGCCCTCCCCTCCACCGCTTCCCCCCAGCTCAGGAATGACCCGGGCGGCGGCCCGGCGCTGCTGAGGCCCCAGAGTCGCGGCGCAGGGCGGCGGGAACGGGCGGCCGTGGCGTGGGCGGCTGCGCGGGGCCAGCGGAGGGCCGGGCGGGGCTGCGGCAGGGCAGGGCCGGCACCGGGAAGCCACTGCCGCCACCGCCGGCTCGGCCGGGGATCGCGGGCCCCGGGTCGGCTCGGCCGGGCCCCGCCCCGCCCCGCCCCTGCACGCCCGGGCAGGCCGTGTCGGAAAGGCGCGCCCCCCGCGACGCCCGAGCCCGAGCGCAGCGGCATCCGAGCGGGAACCGGAACGCGAGCGGGAGTGGAGCCAGAGCGGGAACCCGAGCTGGAGCCGAAGCTGGAGCCGGCAGTGCGGCGCACGGAGCGGAGCGAGGCAGCCAAGCCGAGTAAGGGGCGTGGGGCCGGGGGCGGCGCTGGGGAGGGGCGGGGAGGGGGTCCCGGCCCCCTCCCCCGCGCTCTGCGGCGGCCCCAGCGCACGCACACACCCCGGGGGCACTCAACGCTGACCCGGGGAGGAACCGCTGCGCGCTTCGAACGGGATCCCCCCTCTCCCGCGGATCCCTGCCCCGACCCCCGCGCCCCCGGGCGGGCCACCGGGACCCGCGCGGACCGTGGCTGCCCCTGAACATGCCATCGGGCCCCGGGACGGAGAGCACTCCCCGATTCTTGCCTGACTGGAGTCCCACACCAACATCCACCCTATGTAGGGGGCAAAAAAACAGTCTCCACGACCCCGCGCTCTTGGTTTCCCGGACCCCTAAACAACCTACCCAAGAAGGGGGAACCAGGACGCACTTATGGCTGGGGTGGAAGAGGAAAGGGGCTCCGGGCTTGAAGAGTTTGAAGCTAGAAGCCACCCGCGACCCTCGAGCAGGGAAGTTTGACCCTCCAACGGGGGGGTCACCAGGGCCATGCCCCCGCTTCAGTGCCTGCCTGCCGCGCTGGTCTATCTCAGTACCATCGGTGGGAGAGGAGGTTGTCCACACTGCACCTTCTCCAGCTCTGGGTCAGACTTTGCCTGGCGCGGTAAGTGAGGCTGAGTCCGAGGCGGCTGCTCTGGCCGGCTGCGCAGCGCCAAGCGGTATAGCCGCCCCTCCCCGCGCGCCCTCGGAAGTTGGTTAGTGCCCACCCGCTCCACGGCTGACTCGCACAGCCCTTCCCCTCTCCCCATCGGCCAGGCGGTCCTGAGGCTGGCTCGCGGAGGATCCAGGGCTGCCCTCCTGATCCCACACGCCGTGCCGGCGGGGAGAGCCAGGCCCAGGCTGGGCAGAGGAGGGCACGAGTGACAGGTGTCAGCCGCGGGGGCTCCAGGAGCTTGGTCCTTGGTCTTGATTCCACACAGTCCCACAGGCGCCTGCCTTTGAGCAAGCCCCTCCTGACTCTCCTCAAACATCCTGACTGCTCTACTGGGACAAGTGGCTTCACCTCTTTGTGCCTCAGTTGCTCTGTTGACATGTAGGTAGGATTCTGTTGTGAGCAACGTGTTCAAGGGCTTCCGAACCAGAGGGTGGGCTTGGCTGACTGTCTAGCTGTGTGGCGTTAGGCAAGATACTTAACCTCTCTGAGCCTCAGTTTCCCTATCTGAAACATGGGGAAGGTGGGTGGATTGGAGGGAATAAATGAGGCGATGCCTGGGAACGGGCGCAGGGCTAGCATAGTGGTTGGCACACAGCTAGCTGTCAATTCAGGCTGACCACAGGAGACATTCTGTGAAGTGTCCAGCACCAGTGGATGCTAAGGCAGAGCAAGGTCCTCTGAGGTGGTAGGGACACCACCCCGTCTCAACCCCGCTCCGAGGAAGTCTTGAATCCCCTAAGGCCTGTTGACACATACTGCAATGGCAGAACCCTCTCCTTAGGGCCAGCCCTTTCTCACTGTTCCCTCCTCCCTGGATGCCCTGCTTCCCAGCGGGCACTGGCCTCCCCCTACCTATCATCTCCATCCCAGCTGAGAAAGACTATCTAACCCACTCTTTCTTTGGCCCTAGATTGAGGTCTGTTCCCCAGGCAAAGGGCTCCCCATGTCCTTCTCACACTCTGTGCGAGGGAATTCACACCTCCCTCCACTCCTGGGTTCGGGCCTAGGGAAGACTGCTTTCCCAGAGGCGCAATCAGACAGTCAGGTGGCTTGGATGTTCCAGTGGTGACAGTTCAGACAAGCAGCGAAGAGCAGCAGAGGGAGCAGCTACTAGGGCAAGGAGACAGTGGGAAGTAGGAGGGGGTCCCAACCCTGAAGCTGTGTGGACTGTGGTATGTTCATCCAGGCGACGGAGCCACCAGGCACCAGAAGTGATGAGCCTTGGGGAGGAAGCAGGGCCTGTGAATGACTTTGAGAGGTTAGAAGTTCAGAGCTGGAAGGTCTCCAGGAAGAGATCTGCCCAGTCTGTGCAGCAGACACTTCAGACCCAGGGCAGAACCTGGGAGGCCCAGGAGATAGGGGACGATGCTGGAATCCCTGGTGTGGCATGGAGGGTTGAAGGTGCCCCAGGTGTTGGGAAGAAAACAAATTCCACCACTTATGGACACCTGTATTAGTCCTACTCACCTGCGCCCCAGCTGCCAGAACAGAAGGGAGTGTTGGGGGGCAGTCTGTCCACATGTTGCCTGGTGGGACACACAGAATGGGCTGCCTCCTCGAAGCTCTTACTACACAGAAACCCCCTCTGTCCTCTTCTTCCTCTACAGCCTACTCCCCTCCCCCATCCACCCACCAGGGTGTCACACCCTTGCATCTTCCATAACTCTCACCTCTTCTTCCCAAAGGAGTTAATCAGAAACTAATTAGGAGGTTTGTGTCTCCTAGTTCACGCAGTATTTGGAGCACAGCCAGGCATCAACGTGATGGGGATACAGGCACCTCCTCCAGTCTTGGGGAATCGTTAGTTAGACACATTCAGATGCCTGTTACCTGAAGCCTGTGCCCTGGAAGTGCTCAGAGCACAAGGTGTGGGAAGGTGGCAGTTGGCTCTCAGCCTCCTAAAGGGAGAGGGCTTTCACCCTCCTGAAGCTTCCTGAAAACCAGGAGGGCTTCTGAAGCCCCTTGGCACAAAGGAGAATTGTGTCTGAGAGCACAGCTTCTTGGAGCTGGACTACCTGGGTTTATGGCATGTGATTCTAGGCAGGAGAGTCACCCTTCAGAGCCTCCATTTCCTCTTGAAAATGGGAACAAATACTCTAGACCCCTTGCAATGGCCTTGCTATGTCCGCATTAAGAACATGCATTGAACACATGCTGTTTCCCAACCATAAGTATTTTCCCTTTGGATTCTGACAACAGCCCTCTGATCTAGATACTATAATTGTCCCTATTTTATAGATGAGAACACTGAGGCTTAGAAAGGTTAACGACTAACTTTGCTAGGTATAGGAAACTTAAAACATCACTATGACTCATCATAATTTCATGAGTTTGTAAAATTGATAATTAGCACACTGTATTTTAGACAATATGTAGTTAGTTACTGGAATGTTTCCTCCCTGGGTATCTCCAATCATTGGATATCTGTGTTAATTGCCCATGGGCAATTTTTTGAGACACCTTCATGTTTTTATATTCAAACAGTATCAAACTGATTTAAAAGAGCAGCTCCCCCCATTTATTCCCTATCCTTCCTCTCCATTTTTCTCCATAGCCCTATCACCCCCAACATTTATATATCTTATTCATCTGTTTATTGTCTGCCCTCATCCATATAATGTAAACTCCCCAAAGGCAGGGACTTTTAACCATTTTGCTTACTCTTGTATCCCCAGAGACAAAAACAACCACCAGCACTTCATATGCTCTGCAAATTATAAAGTGTTTTACAAACATAAGGTCTATTATTGTTATTATTTTTGCCAAATGTATAGCTTGCCTGAAAATAAAACCTTAAGGTTCATAGCAGAAACTTCCCTCAAAATTCTGGCAAATAGGACCTGCTCAAGTGCCAGGGAAAATGTGATGAAGGTTAAAACCAGTTGGAGATTACTTTCTTAACATGTTAATAAAGCTCCTTATCAGTAAGTTGAAAGACAAGTTAATTTTTTTTAATATTTGCAAAAACAAATGGCATGCTCAAAGAAAATTAAATTAGCATTTAAAATTTCCAATGAGTTAACTACCACTGATTTATTCACTTACTCTTTGTTACAGAAAATCATTTGTAAAAAACAAAAGAACACAATAAGCCTCCTCAATCCCACCACTGCCCAGAGTATGGATACCCACATGACTGGATACTTCAGTCTATTTCCTTTTCATCTTTTTCTGTGTGTGAATATTTTCTCTCATTTTTTCCCTTAGAAAATAAGGGATCATGTTGTCAGCAGAGTTATATAACCAGCTTACTTGGTGACATCCCCTCACCATTGACATTAAAGTGAAAGTCTTTATATTATTAAAATTTCTTTAAAGCATGACTCCATGGCTATATAATATTCCATTATAAGCATATGCCAAAATTTTCTCAGCCTGTCCTCTGTTATTGGACACTGGGGTCGCTGCTGTAATAATGTTTTTCTATATCCTTACTGGTGTTGTCTAGGCCTTGAATGAGTCTTCTCTACATTCTTGGTCATGACCTACTTGCTGGTTTCCAAATGGACTGGTTTATGTAGTTAGTGAATCCATTCTTAGAGGCTGGGCGCTGGTGGCAGTGGGGAAGGCAGCTGATCCAACAAAGCGCTACTCCAGGTAAACTAAGGCAACATGGAGACCCTGTAAGCTCCAGGCATTTCCTGACCAACCCAGGACAGCACACGCGTGGCCAGATGCTGCATGGGGGCAGAAGGCCTCTTTGCTGCCAGGGCTGCCAAACATCCTGGAGCCCTCTTCCAAAATCAGTGCCAAGTTACTTGCTTGCAAACATATGTGTGCTCTGCCAGCCTCTCTGTTATCATCCTCTCACTCTTTTTCTCCTCTACTCCTGAGTTCATCTGTGTCTTCATTTGATCACATGACAAATGTTTACAGGCACACCTTGTTTTATGGCACTTCACAGATATTGCTTATTTTTACCAACTGAAGGTTTGGGACAGTCTTGAACCAAGCAAGTCTATCAGCGCCATTTTTCCAACTGCATTTGCTCACTTCATGTCTCTTGTGTCACATTTTCATAATTCTCACATTTCAAAATTTTTTTCTTGTTATATTTGCTATAGTGACCTGTGATCAGTGATTTTTGATGTTGCTATTGCAATAAGGGGCTTCCCAGGTGGCGCAGTGGTAAAGAATCTGCCGGCCAACACAGGAGACACAAGGGACATGGATTCGATCTCTGGGTGGGGAAGATGCCCTGGAGGAGGAAATGGCAACCCACTCCAGTATTCTTGCCTGGAAGATTCCATAGACAAAAGAGCCTGGCGAGCTACAATCCCTGTTGCAAACAGTCAGACACCACTGAGTAACTAAGCACACAACACAGTAAGATTACCACTTGCTGAAGGCTCAAAGGATGGTTACCATTGTTTAGCAATAACACATTTTTAAAGTAAGGTATGTACAGTGTTTTTTACACAAACGGCTACTGCAAACTTCATAGACTGCAGGATAATGTAAACCTAATTTTGATATGCACTGGGACACCAAAAAAACTGAATGACTCGCTTTCCTGTGGTGATCTGGAATCTCGCGGACCACCAAACCACAATTATCTCAGGTATTACCTGTAATGACATCTATCTGCATTTGCCATGGAATTTTTTTCTCCATTAGAGGGACCATCAGCTGGGTCTCACACTTCAAGACCAGCCCCCCTCATTTCTGAGACTCCTTTCTGTGTAAAATGGGGATTTGTTTTGAGATCCACTGGTTTGAGCACGCATCGCAAAGACGTGGCCCATCCCCCAGGCCAGCCACTGTGTGGCCCTGCCCAGTTCACCACGGACCCTGGCGAAGCGCAACCCTCCAGTATGGCTGCCTCTGCTGCGCATGCGCGAACCATCCCGTCTCGCGCAGTTACCCGGCTGCTTCTGCCAGGGAGACGGAGCCGGTCCCCTTAACCACAAGCTCACTCATCGAGATCAGAGTGTCACGGTGAGCCACGGAGCGGAGGGATTCTGGGAGCAGGGACGCGAAGAGAAGTGGGAGTGACGTGGACTTACCGCCCACCATTCAGCCACTTCAGAACCTGGAAAACTGCAGTCTGCCGGCCGCCCGCCTGCCCGCAATCCAGTCGGAGATGAGTCACAGGCAGGGACGCGCCTCGACTCAGATGCTGGGCGCTGAGTGAGACGAGCGCGAGGGAAGACGTGACCTGGGTGTCAGATCTGTGGTGTGGGGTGTCCCTGGCAGTAACCGCGAGGTAACAAGGTCCCTCTCTGCATTTCTCTCTCTCCATCTCTTCTCTGTGACTTTGGGTGGGTTATGTCATGAGCCTATGAGTTTTCTTATTTGCAGTATGAAAATGTTACCTACTTCAGGAGACCTGTTGCAGTAATTTCGGTGATATTAACTGGCACGTGGAGGTGCCTGGTGAACATGAGCCACCCTGAAAGCTGGAGTGCCCAGATTATCTCCATTTACAATGTCTACTTGACCGATGGCAAAACCTGCCAGCCCCTTGCCAATCTCCTAGCCCCCTGGGAACTTTACACAATCTCCACCACCCACCCAAACTGACCATGGAAAACCATATGTAATGCAGGGATTCTTTGTGGCCCCTGCCCTGGGAGGTCATCTCCCACCTCCCCATGCCCTGCGAAAACCCCAGTCTTAATCTCATAGTCACAATGCCCAGTGAGAGGAAAGAGGGGGTACAGGGGACCTGTAATAGACGTGTCACCTTGGGGACGATTCCTTGAAGCATGGGGGTGGTCAGCATCCTTCGTGGCATCAGATGCCACCAGGGTAGCCATATAGAATGTATACATTCATTGTGCATTTACTAACTGCCTACTCTACGCCAGCTCACTAGAAAGGGAAACAGGCTGGACCTGTGGAGGCTGGGGCAGAAGCTTGGGCATTTTCCTGAGGGTACTGGGAGCTACCAAAGACATTTCAGCAAATGACCTGATCCATTCTGCCTCTCTGGAAGTGGTACAAGAGATGACCTGTCAGAGCACTGTATCCTCCTCCCAACTCACACACAGCCACAGTGCACACCCGCAGAAACGAACACAGACACAAGTACACACATGTATTTTTAGAAAGCACAGATCCCAGGCCCTGAGATGCTTTGTGAATTTTCTGGTGTGAAATCACAGTTCCCCAAGCAGCCTGCCACACCAGTTCTAGAGGCCAGTTCTACTTTCACTTCCCTCATCAGAACTCTTGACTTGGGTTTCTATGGGGACTGGGAGTGGGTGTCAGGCCAGCATAGGGTTCACACCAGGACAGGCTGAGCTGGAAGAAGTCACCTGGAGAGGGATTCCGAGGTCAGCAGCAGTGATGTCCCCTCCCTCCCACCCGCCTCAGGCAGCAGAATGAACATTTTGCAGCCACATACCTCATGCCAGGGACTGTCTGTACATAACCCCAGTCCTCATGGCAGGTAAAGTGTTCTTACTCTGCTTTCCCCAGGAAGACACTGAAGTTGAGAGGTGAAGTGCTCTGCCCAAAGCTACACTGCCAGGAAGTGGGAGAGTCAATATTAGCACTTAGGAACTGGATTTCTGAGCTTGGGCTCTCCAAAGACAGGTGTTTGTTTATTAAGTAAAAAAATGAATTCTTAGTATAGTTTAACCAATTGGCTCCATCAAAACATGGGGCCCATTTAGAGGATATATACATATATATAATAAAAAGGATCCCTGGAGAAGACAAGAGTGGGAACCTTTGGAACTGCCTCTTACGGAAAAGCTCTGTCCACAAGGATATCATCCCTGGGATCAGGGAAGCCTGCTCCCCCTGGGATGTAGAGGGGCCAGGCGCTCTGCCCGTTGGCTTTCGGCCAGCAGCTTCCCCTGCAAGTGCCTGCTGGGCTCCACATCCATCCAAAGGCACGGTTTGGTTTCTCCCAAGTCGAGTGACCACACTCCCTAGGAAATAAGAACTCTAACTCCCTAATATTCCCGTGGCCTCCTATCACTTGGGGACCTACCAGGAGAGACTGAATCAGCTCAGATCTCCAGCAGCATGAGAGGATGAATTACTTTCTGAAAATGTTTCCTCCACTGCAAACAGGTACTAGAGTGACGTGGCAGTCCTTTACTGCACAGACATCTTGACACCTGGATATTCACATAGGGGTGTGTGGGGGGGGTGGTATTGGTAAAGAGACAATTGTATTCTCTAGCTCTTTATTTCTGAATTGGTAATTTAATCTAGTAGGTACCTTCTAAGGAAGTGTGCTGGCTGACAGTGTGTGCTTTGGAGTCACACAAACCTGGGTTCCAGTCCCAGCCTATAATTAGAATTTGTGTGACCCTGGAAAGCTTCATAACCTCTCTGAGCCTCAACTGCCTTATTTATAAAATGAGAATGAAAAAAGCATCTTTCTCTTAAAACGGTTTGATGATAATGATGATAATAATAAGGTTTGAGCTAGGCATTTATGAATACCCTTCCAGAGCCAGCTGCGGGACCTTGAACTAGTTTCTCGCTTTCTCCAGGTCTCAGTTTCCCCTTCTGGGAAATGAGGACATTGAGCTGATCTGCTAGGGTCTTTTCAGCCCTAACAGTTACAGGATTCTCAGAGGTCAACCCAGGAGAGATATTCGCCCCCTTCCACCAACCACTGAGATGCCAGCACACATTTGTGCCACCTCTGCCCTAGAACCCCCTTACCCCCCCCCTCCCAGACTAGGCACATGCTATCACAGTCACGATCCTCTCCCCAGAGGTTGACAACCCAGGGTACACAAGCCCCCAGCCTGCAGGGTCAGCAGGTGCCATGTGGGCGCCCCCATCACCTGCCTGTTTGTGTCTCTGCAGGTGAGCGGAGGGTCCTTCCCTGCGAGAAGTCAGAGCTCTGCGCGTGGGCAGGCTGGCTCCACTGTTCTGCTCCAAGGATTACATGTCCTTCAAACGCCCCTGCCCCTGTAAGTCTCCTCCCCGCCTCCTTCCGTGGACCGGGGCCAGCATGGCAGAGTCAGGATGCAGAGAATGTTTCTAGGATGTTTGGCCAAAGAGCTCCAGGGGCCTGATAGGGGTTCGATGTGATGATGGATGGGGGGAGGGCAACACAGAAGACCCCTGACAATCTGCAAGAGATGTCTCACCTTGCCAATCCCTCCATATCAGCACTTCCCAGAGTGTGGTTCAGGGTTCTTCCAAGGGATATTAATGAGGTTACTTTTTTAAAAATTCCATAGTCAAATGAGTGTGGGAAATGCTGAGTGACACAAATCAAGTCAGTTTTGCTGGGCTCTTCAGAGCCTTTAAGGTGATGCTGTGTTGTGAGGCTCCATTGGAAAGAGAAAGCCCAGGGGTCTACCCTAACTTAGCTGACAACAAGGAATGTCTCATGAGATGGGTGCTTCACAGAACACATTCCTTGGGGTTCAGTGTCTGAGGAAACCCTTCCGAGAGCAGCCTCACCAGACAGTCCCTTGTTTGTTATTAATAATTCATTTTTTCATCTAATGAAGCCACTAGATGATTTTGCACGTAACATTCTTCTCATGGCTCCCTGATGCCCACACATCTAGATGATGGACTCAATCAGATACACCCTGGGGCTCAAGGCTGCAGCCCCTGTGGCTTACTCCCCTACTCATCATCAACCCTGCCTTCACGACTCATGCTGCCACCCTAACCCCAGAGTTGCCTCTCTCCCTGGCAGCCACCTGCTTCCTCCCATGATGTCCCCTGAGCCCCCTCCAAGGCACCATCATTTGCTGCATTTTGGGAGGACGTGCATAACCTCCCCATCCCTTCTCCCTGGTGAGGTTGGGACTGTGAGTCTGTGTGAGATCAGGGCCCCCAGGTGAGGTTCCCTGTCTACTTGTCAACTCCCTCACCCTGCTCACCAGTGTCTGTTCAAATCTGTACCATGTCCTACATCCTGGGGTTGAGGAACCTCTCCTGCAGAGAGTCAAACTGCCAACTGTCAACACTATGAGCATCAGGGGGCTGCTGTAGTGCAGGTAGGGAGAGCTGGCCTATCCTGTCTGGGAGCGACCATCACCAGGCGTGCCGGGGGAGTAAGGTGGCAGTGTGTTCATTGTGCAGGGAATGTTTTCAGGAGGTAGGGGAGCGCATCCTGGCTGCTGGCTGCCGTGGGTACTGAGGAGGGCATAGATCAAGAGCGATAAGCTTTCTGATACATAGGACAAGCTCGGTAAATTATTGTTACTGTTACCACCATGTCTGCTGTTGTGGAATGGTCAGCTATCAAAACCTCAGGCCAGGTGAGAAGGCTGCCACGGGAGCAGGTCAGAGCCCAGGAACACCTGCCCCACAGAGCGTCGGGGTGGTTGTACTGTCACCCCCAGGAGCAGCTGGCAGTGCAGAAAGCTGGGCTGCTGAGTGTGGAGGGCTTCCCAGAACCTTCTGGGGTTGAGCCAGGCCCTGTGGAGCCCTGCCGTCTGCACCAACAGGGGCCCTCACCGCAGGACAAGGCTCTGCACGAGCAGCTCTTGAGGACTCCAGGGTGTGGTCACGGGTATCCTGGGCTGGTCAGGAGCAGTTACTGCACTTTTCTGAATCCCCCTCTCCCCGCACAGGCTCGGCACCTGGCATGTAGTAGGCACTCAATAAATGTTTGCTGAATGAATAAATGCAGTCCGACACTGTGGATGAGGCCCTGGAGGGGGAGAAGCTGAAGCTCCTGACTCTGCCACCAGACTCTCTCCGTGGCTCTGGCCAGCCAATCCTCATCTCTAAATTGAAGCGGTTATCTGAGGCCAGGGGGTTCCAGGAGCTCAGAGCAGCTGTGAGGCTCCTTGGAGGGTGAGGGGAGACCAGGTGGGCAGAACCCAGATGCCCCACCACCCGCTGCTTCAGCCAGAGCAGCTCTGCTTACATCTCTGGGTTGGGGTCCGTTCAGATTCCCTTAGAGGAGGAGGTCCCAGGCACTGGTAGGCCAAGCCCCATGTGGGTATCCAGGCCCACCTCTTCCTCTACCGTCTCTTCTCTTCTCTGCAGGATTCTTCTCTTCTCCTCAGTGTCCGGTCGGACTCTTTACCTTTTTTCTGAGCTAAGAAGTGCTCGCCGTCCTCCCTTTCAGCACCCCTAATCTGCTTCAACCTGGCTCCTGCACCCTCACCCCAATATGACATCAGCGGCTGTGTCACCAAGTCCATCCCAGAGTTTTCAGTTCTCAGCTGCATCTGACCCTGTTGGTCACATCAACCCTGCTGGTGGCTCCTCGACTGGGTTCTGGACTCTGAACCCTGGGGTTTTCCTCCAGCCCCTCTGGCTCTCTGGGCTCTGATCATCCATTCATGGTCTCCTTTGGTGCAAGAGGAGGGTGCATTCTTCCCACACCTGCCCAGGGATGCTAGGTCCCCCAGGACTCTAACCCCACTGGCCTTCTTGCCCTGTACTCCCCAGACCATTTCATCCTCACTCTTCTTTCACTGCAGCCTATAGGCCAGCAGTTCCCATGACTCTCTTCCACCCTGGTTTCTGCCTGAGCTGATTCCTTCTGCCTGAGCTGACTCCTTCTGCCTTCCACTGCCTGGCTCCCCTGGGTAGCCCCACCTCCACTGCTCAAGTACAGCCTGTCCCACACTGAACTCCTTGCCCTCCCCTCCATGCCAGCTTGCTTGATTTTGCTGTCTTGGTTTAGGGCACCACCATCACCACCACCCAGTCCCACCGGCCAGAAATCTACAAGTGACCCTCAGTTTCAATCCAACACCTGCATCACTACCAGCTGCCCAGGGAGAACCCAGGGTCTCCAAAGTAGGTCAACAGATCTCTCTCCTGACTTCCCCCCACCCCAGTCCAACCCCCTCCTCAGACCCCATCCTGGAAATTGCTGCCTCAGTAGATATTCATGGAACCAGACAACCAGACAAGTGAACAAATGGAGTGAAGCGGACTGCTTATGGTTGGCCTCCTGGGCTCACAGACCAGAGGCCCTCACGTGGTTTTCTAGGAGGGATGCAGAACCACAAGAGTCCCTAATGCCCTGATTCACCTGGCCTGGGAACACTGAGGGACAAAGCCAGAAGTCTCAGGCTTCATCATCCAGCCACAAACACACACCCTCTTTTTTAGCATCTCTCCTGCTCTGTGAATTTAGACACCTAACGGGGAATCGCTTGAACCATCTTAGCTCACAAAATTATCTTACAAGTGAAGATGCCCAAGCCCATTAAAATCTGGAAAACTTAGGACAGGAACCATAGCTTGTCCCTGTCTGGGTTTCCACACCCCTGCATCCTGCCAGTTGAGAGGGGCAAAGAGGAAAGTCCCCAGAAGGAAAAACAAGCACCAAAGCTTCCCTAGCAAGACCTGGCTCCTACGAGTTAAGAGTTCAGGGAAGTCAGGGAGTGTCAACAGGGAATGTGAACCTGGGGCAGGGCAGTGGGCACAGGTCGGGCTGGCATCCACAGCTTTGGACACTGGGTGAAGTGGGACCATCCACTGGCCTCTCAGGAGCTGGGCAGCCCTCAATCAGACCAGGCTGGGCCGACTTCTCCCAGGCCCTGCCCACATCCTGGGCTCCCCCAACCCCTATTACATCCCAAGGTTCTTAGCTCATCTCAGCCTCTCACAGAGAGAGCCCCAACAAACCTCCATGTCCCTCCCTCTCAGTCAGGCAGATGAAAAAAACTAAGGCAGGGAGAGGAGGCAAGAACAGGAGAGGGGAAGCCCTGAGGGATTTGGCTACAGGCTGCAGGAGGGAAATCTGGTCTCCTCCCTGCAAGTGCAAGCCTGTGAGCCATTTCCAGCCTTAAGCACTGAGTAAGGAGGACCAGCCCGGCTCCTCAGAGAGGCTGGACACGTGGGAGCTTCCTCCATCTGGCCCCAGCTAGGCAGGGCAGCCCAGGATTCCCCCAGGATCCAGGCTTCAAGAACAGATGCTTCCTAACTACTTCTTCATCACGAGCACATGGGAGCTCCACAGAGCTTCCTATGGTGTGAAGTGGGGGTGGCCTCAAGGGACAGACCTGGGGGGAGGAGGGGCTGTGGGGCCTCAGGGGAGACTGAGGATGCAGCGAAGCAGGGCTGAGAGTAGAGGCAGCAACCACTGGTCCACAGAGGAACTGGATGGGGCTTGTCTCTGCTAAGCTCACAGGCTGCCAGCAGGCCAGAAGGAAGCACAGCCTAGAAAAGCCTCTGGGTGGGCTTGGGCCTCCCTCAGAGTTGTGGGATGTGGTCGACAATGCTTGGGTTCAAGGACAACATAGCATTGACACTTGCCAGCTGTGAGATCTAGAGCAAGTTTCTTTACATCTAGAAACCTCAATCTGCTCATCTGTAAAATGTAAACAGTCATAATAGCCTCTTGGTTTGATGCCCAGATTTGATACGTCATAAGGAGAATCTAGCTTGGTGCCAGGCACTGAGAAGATGCTTGAGAAACTTGAAAGTCATATCCTTTTGACCACCCTCTCTCTACAATGCTTAACATGACCCAAGTCTTTGGCAACAGAATGGCGAAAATGGAGAGAGATGGGGACGCTGGAGATGAACCTGGGGTTTGGACCAGATACTATTGTTTTCTGCTCTGCTTATTGTATTACCTCTGAAGAGACTTCACTGTCAAGAGAAGGAAGAACTTGAGAGACAGCTCCTGAACCCCCAGCCCTTGAATGGAGAGTCCACTCTGTGGCCCCATGAACATCCTGGCTACCCCTCCTCTGAGTTCTCTGGTCGATCCCAGAGTCTGACTGTAGCAAGTGCTTGGCATCTGGCAGATAATCTCAGTTTCAAATGCACAATCATTTTATATTAATATTAGAGTCCTTGACAAGAGGGCATCAGCCTCAGCTTGAGTGCTTAATGTCGTACTGTTAAACAGCAGCAGTACCCCAGCTTTTGCAGAGCACTCCCAGCTGGCAGAGGTTTTGTGTCCCAAACTTTCTGAGTTTCTACTGCTCTCCTTTCTCATCTACCCCAAACCAATTAATCTGAAAATCCTAAC